ACCGTGACGTCAGTAGATGCATATCAATGGCGCTGTGGCCTGTGTGTGTGTGTGTGCCTAGTTGAGCCTCGAGACCTGCAACACCTCTAATGATGTGGGGACGATGACATCAGGGGTCAGCTGACAGCCCAATAATGAGTACAGCGTTCAGTCCACATCCAGGAACATGCTCCTCTACCTCCGGCCTTTGAACCCAGACTGCCATGACGTCGGAGCCAGGAGAATGCTAATTGGGCTCTGATGTACTGTACGGTGTCCGCAGAGAGGGAGGGAGGGAAGGAAGGTGGGAAGAGGAACTTTAGAAATGGGAGACGTGCAGGTTTGAAAAGAATATGGAAATAGTGTATTGTGAAATTGTGATTCAGGCACAGGGCTCTGTTCAGACTTCTTCTTACAGATCATTGTTGTTCATAAAAACGACGTTATGTGCATTCAGCGTTTAAAGCGTCACTGAGGGAGGCGGAATGAAAAGCAGATGTTCCAAACACTTAACAAGCTGCATCTTACATATGTTTTGAGTGTCGAGGGATGTGTGACGCAGTTTGTGTTGCCCTTCACACAAATAAGCAGACTGGTTTAGTAATGTTCAGTTGCACAACAATGTACCTGTGAGGCTGTAGCTGCAAGACCTCTGAGGTAATGGAATGTTGCAAGGTTTCCTTTTGTTGTTTTGGATCCAGTGATTTATCAGAAATTAAATAGTCTCACCTTGAGGAGGTTTCTTTTCTTACTCTGGCATGAATATGGTTTAATTTGAAGAATATTTAAAGATGTTTTTTAAGATTAATAGCATCAATACTTCTATGAAGAGGAGTTCAGTTTAAATGATAACAAAAAATGTTTTGTCACGACCATGGTCTTTGCCACGTCTAAGCAAAGTATTTGGAAAAAGATTTGGACATGAAAACTTTATCCAGCTGCAGAGTTTAATCCTTGTTCTGGGCAGGGTTGGATCAATGATAATGTAACAGCACCGGAAGTCCAGAAAAGTCCAAAGTCAACAAACAACAGTGTCCCCCTCAAGTTTTCTAAGATGACATTCAATAAGCTGCTGGTCAAACCAGACCACTGAGGGCTGCAGCCACAATTCACTTGAGTGAATTAAATTAAGCATTGATCTGTTTTATCACTGCGAACACAGCTTTTTAACCGAAGTAGAGGAATATGTTTTTTCTCCTTTTTGAAAGTTATGTAAGATGATTTTAAAACCTTGGATCAGGGACAGAGTCGTCTCTTTGTTCAAGAATGTCCTAAAAGCTGATACAACCACTGGAAGGCAGCTCAGAGTCAAAAACAAACATGGCGACGCTGGAGGAAGTTGTGATAATGTGCCTCGAAAAGAAAGAGGCAGAAGCGATTTTTATAGATGCCTGTTGTTTCTTACCAACTCACATAGGTCGCCTTGAAAAGTTCTGCCATTGTTGAAATTCCTTCTTGTGTTAGCTATTGAACTATGAGCTACACTGTTAGCACGATTAGTGGTAGTAGCGCTCTGGTTTGGGTGTTTTGTTCGTATCTATAAGATTTCAGAAAACGAGAGGGCTCTGTCTGTTTCAGTAAATCTATCTAACGTTACTAAAAACTTCAAACCAAACTCGTCAGATCATCGCTCACAAAAAAAACCCACCTGTCTCCTCCCTTTGGAGGTGGATGCTGGACCGATGGATGAAGTCCGCTCACGTGAGAAACGTCTCTCTCATAGACGTCGGACATTAAAAAGTGACACATTTTAACCGTTGTGAATACGGCAGTATAGTGTTCCGTAATGGCTGAACTTTTGCACTGCTCGGCAGTCAGTCAAGCAGGGCCCAGGGGGCGGCCGTGATGAAAGGGCTTCATGTGGATTCCCCCTCTAGAAAGCTGTCACTCACACAGGCCCCAGAAGAGCAGGAGGGGATCCTGGGTTGAAGCTCAGAGTTTGGAGCACGATTTGAACACGTGAGGAACACAGTCTGACGGTTTTTGCGGCTGCAGTTTGCCGACCGCAAAGTTTTTTTCGACCGAAAAAGAAACTACACTGAGGAACGGCAGCACATTTGAATTTACAGTTATTATATTGGTTTATCTCATCTTAGCTTCGGGTTGATTTGACATAATATGTTTCCGTATTTGTCTCTTTATCTCTGTGCGATTTCATGAATCACTGACCATTACTCAACCTTTGTCTTCATCGGTGAGAGCCTATTCATCAGCCCCTCCCTGCATCTTCACCATCAGTATAACACAACACAGCTGACACTGAAGCCATCTGAGTGAAATATATCCAGCGTGATCTTTCGGTGCCCAGGAAGATCACCGCCGCCACGCCCACACCCATTGCATCCTCCTGGGACCGGTTGCCGGGCAACACTGGCTGATCGGGTTAGTAAGGTTAAGAAAGGGTCTGGCACGGGCCGGAGGAATCAGATCACTCCCATTGATCATCTTCTGTGCGTGCTCCTCTGAGAGCCGAGGCCGCGGCCGCAAAATCAAAGCCCTGCCATCATGTCTGAGAGGGGGTTATTACGCACACAGGGGAGCAGACAGAGACACGGCAGGCTTTGTGTGGTTGCTCGCTCTGACATCCCATACCACACATCACAGTGTGATACTGCAGCTACTCACTAGTGATGTGAGAGTAGCTGCAATAGAACCGGGTTGAGGGCTGTGGAGTGGGTAGTGGTGGTATTCCAAATGCCGCGTGCCGCACCCACAGTGTGGGAGTCCCTGGGGTCTCAACAGGAGCCCAATCAAGCCTCACACCACCACCACCGTTTCCCTTTCTTGTCATTAGATTACAGTGATTAGGGCATTATCCCACTTAATGCCCAAAACTTAAGTAGATAAGTTAATAAAACTTTTAGTGGGCTCTGAAGAAAATGCTTTGGGAAACAGTTATAGATGTAAATCACACCTGTGCTTTTTGATGTTTAATAGTGTAAAAAGTCTCAATCTGAGGATTAAATGTTTAAATCACAACAAGACTGTCTCCTGGATCAATTTCAAGAGCTGACAGGCGAAATATAACAAATATATATGCTACCAAGGCCTGAGACTAATGAGCTATTAAACACAAAATGATCCATTATCCCTCACCTTTATATCAACATCATCCTGCTTAGTCGCAGCATTAAACTCTTTATATCTATGAAGGGACGTAAAAATGTGCTTTTGTGCGTGTTTGATGAAACCAGCCTGCCTCAGCTCTTTCTCTCCGTGCTTCGACATTACTTTTGGCACAAAGTGAACGCACCAGTGTTGAGACCGGCCAACTGTTCCACCCGTGCTTCGGGCCTTTGGTGGTGTTGGTGACGGCTGAAGTCCCGGAGAGGTGTAAAGTGCAGCGAGGCAGTGTGTGGTTGTGTGGTTGTGCTGGGTGATCCCTCCCACGTCTCTTTACTCATGCTGTCCTCTAGGGGAGGTAGACACCCAGCCAACTGGTGTCACTGCTCCTTCGCCAAACCTACTGAGTCAGTACGAAAAAGAGGCGGAGACGTGGATCTGTCTCCTTTTTCATCCTTTGTTTCTCTGGTTGCGCTGGTTTATCTTGCAACGCCTTGTAGTTGCCCTCATCTACAACACCTTAATGTATACTGCTTTTTTAAATTCAGAGTGAATTGAATATTTCTCTCCAGCTGTTGTGTGTACTCAGTAGTATCTGTGCTTTGAAACTGATTTGCAGCCTGCTGGTTTGTCCTCTCTGATTGTGTGTGGTCTATTTGATCTTTATGAATAACCACTGTTTCCCTCTCTGATGTCCACACGTTGGTTTTGTCCTCGTTTCTTATGCATCATCTCGTTCAAACTGTCGATGATGGAGACTGTCTGCACTGATTCAGATTTTTGTCTCTGCTCATTTCCATCCTGTTAAATGTGTCGTCATGTAAAGACTGACTGTGATACTTGCTTCAAAGATAAGACGACATTTTTGTTGTTTACAAAATTTATTCATACAAATCTTACAACACTTTTTTTGAACATTTATTGACTTGACCTTTGCAGATCGCCATTTGAAGTAGTAATCTAATATTCACTTTCTACACAATAAATATATATATATATATATATCTTTGAAGATTATTTCATTTTAGTAAGGCTGTTGGCGCTTTCATTATCATACATGTAATGTTTCATGGAGAGGGGGAAACTGATCCTTTCCTCTGTTTTCAAAAAGATCCAATCTAGTGCTCTAAAAACAAAGTGCCAAAGAAAGAAATGCAAGCAAGAACGCTTGACGTCTAAGCTGGATGACGCTAAGAGAGCCTAGTAAACGTCTGTGCAACACAAAAACAACAACAGAAAGGGTGAAATGTAAGCTGATGATGTGCAGCATTGTAGGGCCACTAAATAGCCACCTGTGATTCATGGCGATTTTTAAAGTCGATGCAAGGCACCACAGCCGCAAACTGCTTCCTGCGTCACAAAGCCTAGAGGAGAATGCAAAATTAAAGAAAAGATTTATACAATAAACACAAATCAAATAACTTTTTACCCTGCTCTTTGAAAACTAAAGATCAACTGCCTTTTTTTTTTTTCACCCTTAATTTTGCCTGATCAAAATAATTTCCTCAGGGAAACTGGGAGGAAGTGTAAATTATACTTGTGAGTTTCAGTCTTTTATGAACCTTGCCTGGTGCTTAAGTTTCTTAAAATAAGCATGTTCTTGTTCCTTTATTTTCTTTCTCCCTTTGTCTCTCAAACTGTGTTTTATTCCTTTTCAGCTCATACTGTCAATTCTTGAAATTCAGTTTTCAATTCAATCATGATAATTAAGTCTATAGTAAACTACTTTAATTGCAGTTTTTCCTTCATGTACAATTTAACAGTGGGCTACCAGAACTCTCCAGTGCTATGGACATTCAGGGTAATTCTTCAACTGACGACAAGCTTCAACATAAATCTTTTGTAGAAACGTCAGTGAGGAGAACAGAACACAAAACAACATCGAGAGAGATGACAGGTAAATAATGTATATATATGTTTGCAGTAGTCAGAAAGCAAGCAAAACCATCTAGTTGGAGTCGTCTGCAGAGATGCAGTGGCTAGTGCAATTACTTTAATCATGCATTCTACTGTAGTTTTTTTACATTGGTTCACATGACAGAAAAGGGAAGCACAATAGACCCAGAAGGTTCAAACACAAAAGTCCAAACTGCCTCATATGTCTCTCAGAAAGAAAGAAATCGATGGGTAACCATGTAACAAGTATCATTTCTTTGTGTGTGGGGTTTTTTTATGCTTTTTTGAAATTTGCCTGGTGGTGCTTTAAATACAGTGATACTTATTATATGGGCAGAGTGACATGAGGAAACCTTCAGCAGAGTAAGAGGTTTCCAAACACACAGCTGAGAGAAACACAAGATTGGCACTTTACACGAGTCAAAGGTGAAAGCTCACTCTGTAAACACTGCGGAAGAAAAGGACAAGAAAAACCTCAAGAGTACTCTGGTCCTCATCTCATTTTTTTTTTTTTTTTTTTTTTTCCTATCATGACTTAAAAAACTGGCACTTTGAAAGCCAGCAGGGCTCAAGTCTGGTTTAAACCAGATCTGATAATTATCGTTAATCATCCTTCCATCCAGTGACAGGATGCAGATAAATCTCTACCTTTCATATCAATCAGCGGTGATATGTATAACATATCAGTCAGAGCCTGTCCATTTTCAGCCTGTACGCTGTGGCGGCTGTACAGGCGGGATTAAAGGTGGAATCTGCCAGACTCGAATGAGACAGGAGCACAAATGAGGTGGAAGAAGAGTTGGATTTGAGAGTTTGGAGCGTGATCACAAGGTTCAGAGTTAAGGGTGAGAGAAAAAAAAGGGAGGGACGTGAGAGACGCCCCCCTGCAAGGACACGGCCTTAGGAAAGAGCCTGAAACTCACCGGAAATTCGGGGGAGAACTGTTTCAGCCAGTCTCCCAAAAAAGCCTCAAACTCATCCCCGTCCGGGAGGGCGTCAAAGTCTATGTCTTGTAGGATATGGTGAAAACCTATGTCTTCAAGGCTGTTGTGGATAAAGACAACTAAACTCTTAATGTCACTTTACAAAAAGCAGCATTCAATACATTGATTGTCTTTTAAACAATTTATTTTCCTCACAATCTTATCTCTTAGCACTGAAATGTTTAAAAGACAGGGCTGTTGGAGCAAATCGTCACGAGAACAACTGTCTCCCCTCAATCAATAGGTCTAAGAAAAATAAATCAATGAATACATAAATAGAGGCTATTTTTTTTTCTCATAACGAACAAAAATTGGTCCACAAAGTCGATAAATGTGTCCTCAAGTGCTTTAAGTACAAAATAAAAACAATATTATTATCAAAATATTCATTTTAATGGCTTACTTCATACATAAATACATGTTTAAGAACATAAAAGCGATCCACTGATTGTTCAGATGTCAGAAGGACTTCATCTGGGGCTGCACACACTTAGGTTTTTTTTCTGGTATAAGTCAGGAGGGGAGGATGCTACAAATATGCCAGCCGGCGTCCTTTGTTTCTAATTTTCTGTCTATACCTTTTCCCAAGGACGGCCGCCAGGTATTTCTTCACTGCCATTTGCTTTCGGTAGCGGCTGTAGCTGTCTGTGAAGATCCCGTCTGAGTGTCGCTTGGACAGGGGCTCTGAGCTGTCCTCCAACACTTTCCCCCCACTGCCAGAGACAAGAGGGAGGGTTTTCAGCATCAAACACACACACATGCGACTGTGCATTCACCAAGTGACCTCTGCTTGTAGGGCTGAGGAGTCTGGATGTTGGATATAGGATCTTAAAGGGGGGAATATTGAGTTAATGAGATTTATTTTGTTCAGAAGGATTCAGCCTGCAGGAGCGATGTGTCTGCAAATCCGTTTCCTTTATTTTGGAGTCACATCCTGCGTTTGTTTAACTTCTTCTTCCCAGGGCAATTTGGCACATCTTTCCAGTAATATCCAATAAGGCCTGCTCATAAGACTGGAGCAACTGCATGCCTCCCCTTCCATCAGGAACCACTGGGACCCAAAGCAATAAATTATTCATATGGAAATAAATTCAAGCCTGCATGTGCGGCTTAATTCTTCCCCCTGCGCCTTAATGACACAGCTCAGAAAGTGACACTTCCAAATCAATCAAGTGCCCATCCTCCTTTATTATAGCTGATCCAGAGGCAGTTTTTTTAGCAGCACGCGTGGAAGAAAATGGGATCACAGACATGTATACAGTACACGTATAACAGCGTGGATTATGGGCATTTAAAGGATCAGTCAAAGGAGACAAAGAACACACACACACACACACACACACACACAGGACAGGAAATCATCAAATAGAAAAGAAGAGGTGACAACCAAGAAGATGCTCTTACCCTACACGTTTTGCCATCTGAGATTGCAGATATTTCCTTGCTGATATCTGACCCAGCGCTTTCCTGTAGGCTTTATTAAACATGCCGTCTGCATGCCTTTCCGTTCTGGGATGATAGATAGCCACACAGTGAAATCACCACACACCCAGGGCATTTATAGAGGCAACAATGTCAAGTAGCTGCACTGCAAAAATATATGTCTATGTCTCAACATGTCAATTGTAATATTTGGCCTTAAACTGCACTTTTTTAATGAAAGACAGAGAAAAATATAGAAGTATTAAGATGATTTGAATTCCTTTTTTCTACCTTTTTTTATCTGCTGAATCAACTACTTAAGAGTAAATTTCCAGTTTTTTAAAACTATTTCCTTGCAATTCGGAAATTAAATGAGGTTCTTTTTATTCTTTTTTAAAGGAAAATTATTTAAAATCAAAAACTTCAGAATTAGACACTGACACACAAACACACAACATGGACAGAAATAGGACTACAGCAATGAGATGTTCAAACATGGAAGGTTTCCAACATGAAACAAGGTTTAGGGTAAAAAAAAACAGGGGGATGATGTATATTCACCTTTTGTCCGGAGGGTAATACAAAGTGTAGACGTCGCCATCGTGAGACGAAGGGTTTCTCACATCCATTTGGTCTCTGTCATAATCCAGGGAGGGTAGGGAATTTCCATCCTCATCATAAACCTCACTGTCAAGTCTAGATAAAAAAATAACAAAGCTTTTAAATAGACACGTACAGTACAGCTAAATCCCCTGAAATCTTTAGACTTATTCTTAAAATTAATTGTAAACTACCTGTTACCACAGTAATCTCCTTTAAAAAGACACACTTTTCCCTAAAAACCTTTTTCTATTAATTATCTAATCACATAAATTGGCCGATTAATGGCTCAGGACAGATTGATTGTACTTCACTGCCTAAGAACCCTAAATGACATTAGAGCCGCTCCCTGGTGGATGTTTCTTCGTAATTTTTTCTGTGTGAGCAGCCCTATGGATTGTCTGTCATATGCTGTTATCCAGTAATCCAATAAAGGCTTTTATGGCCGCAGACATCACTAACTGTGATTCAGATATGGTCTTTGCCCTGTGCCCCCTGCAGCTGCTGCAGTGTCAAATCCTCCAGTTCCCTCCCTTTGCATGCAACAAAAAGCAAAGAGGAATCAACACCTGCAGACTTTAGTGATGAAGTGGTGGAGTACATACCTAGTGGGGAAGCTAAGCCCCACAGGTGAGCAGTTGACGCTGTAGTGCATTATGATTCCATAGATGAGTAAGGCTAAGGTCGCTTTGCTAGACATTGTCCTGCTGTAAGAGAAAGATACAGTAAGTGAGTGTATAATAATAACTGTCCATAAGAAGAATCATGAGGTGATATTCAATAACTTTAACACCACACCTGTGAGTTTCTAAGAACAAAAAAACAGCCACACCTGAGTTTTCCCTCACACGCTCCGCGCTTTTACGCAGCGTAAAAAGTGCCTCCTCTTACCAGTTGCGATCCGCTGAACGATCCGCTGAAGACCTCAACTGGGGAGAGTGAGATAGGATCTCTATCTCAGCCTCTCTCTCTATCTCTCTCCTCTTCCCCTCCTCTTCCTCTGTTCCCTCGGTGAAGCGCCTGTCCGGTCTCTTGTTAGCGGAGTGTGCAGCAGCGCTCCGAGCTGACTTCTCGGGGGTTTTTACGCGCAGCTTCTCTGTGATGGAGATCAGCGCCGCCGAACATTTGTCTGCAGAGAACTTCCCTGCGTCCTGTGAACTTAACTCCCCCTTGGTTTTTTATTCATGAATCCGAGCAGGCATGCCTTTTTCACTTGTCACGGAGGGAAGGGGAGGGTGGGAGGTGGGGTGGAGAGGGGAAGGGGGCGGCTGCGTCATCGCACCCCCCCCCCCCAACCCATCAACACCCCACCCATTGGAGAGCATCCTCTCTCAGCGTCAATGAAAGACCCCGAGACAAGTCGTAAAAAAAGAATGGGGTTGGGGATTCGAACATTATGATTAATTATACAGTGAATTGATGAGGTCTGACGTCACGCCATAGATAGGACTACTTGGCCTGATGGGATGGGGAAGGAGACGCCCCCACACACGCACACATCACACACAAAGTCGTGTCTCCATGACTTCAGAGGACTTTGACTTAAATCGAGTTCTTTCTCTAACTTTAACCAGTTACTGCTCGTCCGAACCTAAGCTTACACTAAACCCAATTTAAATCCTAAACCAAACCTTTACTGAAACTCAAGCCTAAACCTAACCTAACCCAACCATTAACCTAAACCTATCCTGAGCCTAAATCCAACTTAAATCCTAACCCAAACCTTAACTGAAACCCGAGCCTTAACCTGGACGTAGCCTTATCCTAACCCAACTCTTAACCGAAACCTAACCTTAACAAAAATCTGACTTTAACCTAACCTAATATCTAACCTTAATGTAACCAAACCTCCGATGTCTTGGCTTAAAATGTTGTGATTTATGTTAAAGGCACTTTAACAGTTTGAGTGTGTAACAGATTTAAGTGTCTTCAGGATGAGTAACACCTAAACCACACACACACACAAGACAATAGATAATTGTGTCATGGATGCACCCCCACCCGTCCACTCTGAGGTCAGAGGTCACACTCCGCTGCACAATCCGAACCTGAGTCATCTCTCTGAATAATTTGGATTCGTGAACATTCAAATGCAGATGTTTTAATCCTATTTTCCTTAAATGGACTTCCTGTTGTCGTTCCAAGTAATAAAACTTCTCTGTTCTGTGGAAACCTGCACGTGTCTCCAGAGTATTGACTTTGAATCAATAAATCAAGCTTTGGTCTCAGCTTTGTCATAACGCTGATTAATCCATCACTTACAATAACTATTGATCTGCTCACACACAGTTAAAAGGTTTTATTGAAAAGTGCTGAGACCTGTTGTACTGATGTTGGTCTGGTGGAGCTGTCCAGTGCTGAAATGTGACTGCTCCCATAGAAGAGCTCTGTCACTCTCTGATGCATGTGGCTTCATTCACTAGAACATGTTCAGTCAACGCGTCCTTCCTGTTTACACACAGCGCCCCAGAGGTCAGACTCAGTCATAGAACCGGACACTGAAGTCATTTACACAGTTTGACCCTGACTCACCTGGCGGAGGTGTGACTCTTCCCTGTTGTTCGGGTTGAAGTTCTGTGTGACACATGCAATTCAACCCATTAATAAAAACCCTGGTGGAAAAATACTCAGACCTCATACTATATATATTATCATATTATTATTATCATCATTACTACGACTAGTAACTGGTGCTACTATTATCAAAACTTAAATTACATTCATGAATATCACTATTATTACTTTCATGATAACAACCAGTGACAGAGCTACATCTGCTTCTGGTCTCTCTCTCTTTTCTCTCCCCTCTTTCCCACCCGCCTCTCCTCTCTCCCCCATTCGTCTCTGCTCGCCCACACTGAATCTGGTTCTGTTGGATGTTTCCCCCCCCGTTAAAAGCGTGATTATTATTTTCTCTCCACAGTCACCAAAGTGTTTGCTCATCACGGAAGTGGTTCACTATAATATTCTCAGGTCTCGATCTCACTTTCTAAGTGCTTTGAGATAATGTGTGTTGTGCCTAGCTGTAACCGACACTACACAAATAAAATTGAATAAACCTACAATATTGCAATATGAAAGTACACCATTAAAGTTATTTTGACTTAAGTTGAAGTATTATTTGGTAAAATACATTTGTGTCTTTTGAATAGCTCAGTGTCTTTGGTGGAACTGCTACCAACTCACAGACATCTGAAAAGTAAGTGTCCAAACTGTGAGTACCTTTGTGTTCCTTTGTGTTTGGGGCCAAAAACGTTGGAGACCACCACATAAATCTTTACCTCCGCCACTAAAGTTGTGTTTTCTTTTCATTTCATTCTGCAAAAACTACAAAACAGATTTCCATGAAACTTGATGAAGATGGGACATGGGTCAAGAGAGACATTTTCACTTTCTGACTGATGTCTATGAGTGTTTGCAAGCTGCTGCTCTTAATGAGTGATATTCACTAAACAATGCATTTTATTTGAAGCTCATGACACTGTATGTTTCTAGATAAAGCCTCAACTGGAGGATCAAGTAATCAAAACTTTAAGATACACATAGTAAAGTCAATACTTTATACTTTCTAAAACGTGCATTAATGGAAGTAAAATACAAATAGTAAAGTACATGTAGTTCATAATTGTGTAGTTCTACCTTTGTCTGGTAGACCTGTAACCTATTAAACCGACTTGTTCTGGTGCCTGGACATTAACAGTGGACCGGTTCTCCTGTGCACACATCAGGACCATGTGTTGAATCTTTAGTGGGTGATTCAGAGCAGTCGATCCTTTCCTGGCTCTGACGTCAGGCGACGGTTTGCTTAGCGCAAAGAAACACTTTACTCTGAATTCTTGAGAAGCTGAGGGAGGAAGAAAAACAAGACTCTGTGATGAGAGTCCTGGTCTGGTTCTGAGAGAACACTGCATCCATGTGGTCCTGAGGAGGAAGTGCACTGTAGTGTACCAGCAAGCTTATTATTATTATTCTTACATAATATACTGGGGATTGGCAACTTAAAAAGTACTTCAGTAGTACTTCAGTTTATCTTCAATCAAAGTTGGCAATTGTGCAAATATAACTTGAGCTGAACAAATTTAATTAATATGCGTTTTTTTCAAAGTTGTTGCAAACATTTTCTTTTACAATAGAATAAGAATAAAACGTTTTATTTCACTGCACCTTTCTGAACATCTAAGGACACCTTACAATACATCATATACAAACATAAGTATAATTAAATTAAGAGCAAACATTAAAATCCACAGTTACAGGCACCTTATATCATAATACAAGAAAACCGGCCTGTAATCAGATTAACATCAAATGTAATCACAGGAATAATTAAAGTAAAACCAAATGTCGAAATCAGTTCATCTCCTTTGTTTTGCTCCTGCAGCCCAGAAGATTAAGTTAAAGGGTTTTTAAATGGGTCGATTAAATGTAAATAAAACATTTTAGGCAAGAAAAAACTGATTTTCCCTTTTCTGAGACAAACACCTCTGTGTCTGTGTGATGATTAGTTATTTTCTCTTGTAGACACTGGACAGTGCAAAGTGGGAAATAATTATGATTAACATAAGATAATCATATAATGCTCGTCTGTAGAAAAATTTAATGATGATGAGTAATTCAGCTTTGTTCGTCTCTTAATGACATTTAAAATAAATAAGCGTTGATGTTGTTGATGTGAGTTTGGTCTAAATCTAATTGATGAGAGAATATGAAGCAGATAAGAATTATTATCCAGTAATCACCTGTCACTGGACTCATCATCGAGCTGTTATAATCATAGTGGAATATTAATAAACATGCTTCTCTCTTATAAAAGCATTTTATCTCTTGTATAGAGTTAAAGGTACAGTGTGTAGAATTTAGTGGTATCTAGTGTTGAAGTGTCATGTTGCAGCTGAACACCCCTCGCCTCACCCTCTCCTTCAAACATGATAAGAAACTGTGGTACCCTTTAATTGTCATAAAAACTCAGAAGGTGTTTAGTTTGTCCAGTCTGGACTAATGTAAAAAACATGGCGGCCTCCGTAGAGAGGGTCCCCTCGATGTAAAAATAAAGTATTTAAATATAAGGGGGTAAAGAAAATTACAATTCATAAAATGTAGATGAAATGAACAAGTGAAAACATCATGAGAATTATTCTACATCAAATTTCTGCCAATAGTTCCCTTTCACCTTAAATCTTATACACTGGAACTTTAAATGAAATGCTTAATGCGTTTCCTTTGAAACTGATCATAACCTAATATAAACCATACAAACAGTAAGTTTTAAAACTGGCTCCTGACCGTAACTCCTCAGTAATATGATCAGAATTATAAATACGAGGCTGCTGTAATGTGTGACTAGAGGGAACGACAACATGCTCCTGTTTGTTCAGATGGTTCCGCACACAGCAGCTTCCGTAGATCCAAACACTTTAATATCTTTTGCTTGGCAGAGCTTTATCACAACAAACAAGAAGAAACATATGACCCAGTCTAATTTTAACACTGCGAGGTTTTATACACGTGTGTTTTATGTCTTGTGACTCAAGTGCTTCATTGTTGACAGAACATTTTTAAATCTAATTTGTAAGATTTGTCTGTCTCTTGGGGACAAGCTGTGAAGGTTTATTCTTGTAAACTATACTTAA